CAATGCCCGTTGCTCCTCGGGGCACGCCGGAAACAACTGCACCAGCGACACGTGTCCGACCGCCTCTTCGGCACTGTTCTTCCTCGTCGACTCGGCGATTAAACGTGACGATTACTCTGGCAATTAATTGTTCCCACTGAAAAGGAAATAATTGACATTCCGGTGATGTCCGCGGTGAGCGCGACGCATGCGTGAACACGTAAATGATCCGTCAGCGGACGTTAGTCGATAAGAATGTAGAATCATTCGACGAGCTATTTATTCTCTTGAGAAACGAAAAAAATGTCCTCGCAAAAACTTCACGGACGATTCGATCTCGACAACGGGGGATACATCGGTTAATCGTGCCGAATGAACGAATCGACGACCATGAATAAGCGTACTGCATTCGGTTGCATTCAAATCGCCGCCGCTTGTTGAAACTTCCGGTCGTACTCCGAAATTATCGATTTTACGGCACGTGACACGCGCTGAATGCGGGATTCGGTCTTTTATGCACGTTCGACATTTAATGCGAGGCACATCTAGCGCGCGCGCGCGCGTGCACTTTTACCACGCAAATACGCCGCAGCTGCTTATTTGCGTAAAGCGTACTTCGCCAAGTAATCTCAATTACAAAGTTTCTTTTTTGTACTTTTCGCGATGGTATTATAATGAATTGTAGCGCTCGTTCGACAAGTTCAACGCCCGCATGAATATTCCCGTATAATTATTATTTTGTCGCGACGATAAAATGCTTCGTTAAAATTCGTACAACTCCTTTGAACCTTGACTGAGTTTCATTTGGAAATCAAATCTCGAGCGACGGCGCGAGCTCCTTTCGCGATTTCTCGCTCGCGTAGTACACAACGGCATAATCGATCACACGAAACAAATTTTAATGAGACGGTGATAACTCGCTGACGACAGTGAATGATAGATATGCGCCGTAGAATGGTTGCATTGCGAAGAACGTCACGCGATATACTTCATCACGGAACGAGTGGAGGGGGGATGGAGCGCGCGGGGGACGCGTCAGTCGAACCTCGTTTTGAAACTCAACACCGCTCGAACCGATCGATAACTGCGCTCGACTTTGTCCGTATAATCCCCCGTCGTCAACATTTCACGGCGAATTGAATTTAAATGAGTGTCAGGCTCGATGACACGCGCGTTGATTAATTCAAATATGCACATCCAATTACCGCTCGCACATCCTATTGTTGCATTCACGCGCGCCGGCCGCGGACTGATTCAAACTTTCGCTCCGAAACTCGCCTCTCAAAAAAAACGATCGATAACGTTTAGCGTAAACTTGTGAATTCCAGTCAACACTTGACTCTCGGTGCGCACAAACGTCAGCGCGACGACACACCGCGCATTTTTCACGCCGCGTCCTTAGCGTTTCAAAGGTTCCCACCGCCTTTTCACATTCAACTCTGTTCGGACCGATCGATATTAGCACAACCTAGTGAATTCCCGTCAATGTGTCTCTGCCATGCCTCGCGAACATCGGAGCAAATTTAAACAACAATAAAAGCGAAATAGAATCTGGAACAAAGATTCTTTCTTACGCTTAACTCCGCGCAATCCTCGGCGACATTTCAGAGCGATATATCCATTACAGAGAGAAAGAGAGAGAGAGAGAGAGAGTGGCGTCGTAAGAAATTTAAACCGCGCCGGTCTGGCGCGAGCGCAAACGTGTACAGTCTTAACGACGCGCGTCGGTTGACTGAAGGGGCCCCTTCTAGTCGCGCGGCACGATTTTCTGCTCGCCACCGCTGCTGCTGTTGCTCACTGCCGGGTGGCGCGCCGGTGGTACGGCAAACGGGCCCCGGAACACGCGCCAACAAGAAGGGCCCCTGCGCGAACGCGAACGTGAAACGCGCACAGCTTGGCGAGCAGACGGTCGCTTCACCTGCGTGTACCCGATGGCTTTGTTATAGGCTTCCCCACCTCGTCGAAGCGGCGCGGGGCCCGGCGGGGCCCTACGGAGTCTGATGCAAGCACTGAGCGAGCGAGCGAGCGAGCGCCTCCGCAATATCGCGCACTATGAAACTGTCGTCGGGGTTGAAGAACTCCCCTCGTTCGGAAACGGAAACACTTTCCATCGCGGCTCGATCGAGAGATTTATGCGTGTTTAGGTTGCCAGGGAAACCTTCCCCGGGTTTTCTTGACAGTTCCATACGTTCGCCTCGTTATCTTCTGAAAGACGTGAAAGTAATATCGCGAATTTTGACGGTCGATTCGTTTCAAGATAAATAGAGAACATTGATCAAAATTGTAAGCTTGCGCGATTACCGAATTGAATGACTTGGGAATGCGACTCGCGGATAATAATTCGAAACAAACGTTCATCGATTTTGCTTCTTTTTTATTCTCCGATATTTATTGCGTAGGAATATATATGTTTTTAATATCCGTAGTGTGTTATCGCGACACACTGTTTACGTATCTTGAATTTCTGTATTTATTCCTCGGCCCTTAACGTCCCATTCTCATATTTCATTACGCCTCGACTTTTACGAGTAACGGAAGTTTATCGCAGAATCCGAGTTGCGACGTAGCTGAATGCGACTTAAATTAATAGATATACTCAATAGGGTCATCGATGATCGATGAGATTATATTTTTTTTCCACTTTTACTGGCCATTTATCTAACGGATTTTATAAATTAATAAAAATCCACGTGACACGACAAAATAAACAGATTAGAAATAATGAAGTACAAAACTAAATCTGAAAAATAAAAACAGTTTCGCAATAAATTCTCTACAATTTATTACATATTATTGTAAAACGAGATAAAAAAAGATTTTTAAGTTGTTTCAATAACAATACGCGTAACAAGTTAACAATTCGCAATCACGATAATGAAACTTTGTAAAGATATTGCCGATACAGAGTTCACGTGCATTTTAATAATTCGAATCAGTGGCATGCATGCTAATTCTTATATTTCTCCCAGAAAGAATACTAAATACATAGTATTTATGTCTTTTTCCTACTCTTCAGATTTGTATTCTATTTGTGCTCTTATTTTGTAACACTTTACTTTTGTTGCGTGATTCAAAAGATTTGCCGCGGAGCAGAATGGAACCGTTTTTATTTTTCCCCGCGTATAATTAATTTATAATTCCCGACATTAAATCGTGTACGCTCATATACGTTCTCCCGGCTTTTTTCAAGACAACCAGCGAGAGGCCGCAACCGTCTCGAAACGATAAAACGCTTTGCACGCGCCGGGGCGATGATATATCGCTCGGAACGAACCGCGGCGCAACAACGAAGGAACAATGAATAACTACCGACCGGCGTGATGTATCGCGATGCGAAGCGGCGATAACGATAATTACGAGAGTGCTCTCCTTTTTTTTTTCAAAAGCAGCTACTGTCAAGATGCAAATATTGTTGTAACGCGGCCGGTGCTCCTCGCGGCGAGTGCACGCACTTCTAATCCGCAAGGCGCGTTTTGCGCGCTCGCCTCCGTGCGTGCCGCGCCGCGAATGCAATGCGCTCGACGAGAGCATCGACGCTTAAGTGGCACTTTAATGCACCAGGTAAAGGCCTTTGGTTTCCCGGTGTTTGCCGCCTGCTCGACGCACACCTCAAGCATTCTCGAAGCGCTCGGTAGTTTCCTCCTTGTCTTGTTGCCCGCCCCTCTTCGCAGCACTGATACGATTTACTCGCGCGGGACAGAAACGGAGATAATGCACTCGTGCGAACTGATACGCCTTGTGATTTAATATGCGTCAGAAACGTACGTAAGTAAATTAAGTGTTCGCGAGCGAGCGTATGACGCGAGAAACGCGCTGATATTTCTCCCGCTGCGATTCAATTAAATTGTTGATTTTGAAAAAGACGTGAATCCTTTTCTAGAAGAAATGTCAATATTAAAAATGAAATGTTATGAATCGTCTATTTACATTTTATCGAACAAACACGGAATCCGTATCGTTAAATTTTAGTACGGATTTAAAAATCACTAATACATATGGTCAGATTTCAAAAAAATTACACGGTGCAAAAACTGCTGCAACATTGTTATCATTCGTATCATTCGCTTGTCAGTTTGAAAACTTTTAACACGCACGTATGACTAAAATATAAATAAAATTAGAAACAATACTGACATTAACAATTTCAACCTGTATTGTTACATTTTTAGTATTCAAATATAAAAATGTAAAAATACAGAAATACAAAATACGCAAAGCTTGTCGACGGCCTCGCGTTCCGAAATTATTGTATTTATTGGACGGACTTTTCCGAGCACCTTGAACAAAATGAAAAGTTCGACGGGCATCCGATACCCAGTTGTTCACATGTACGTATCGACCGATACGTCCATCGCGCGCGCGCGCGCGCTCGCGCATACGACCTATGTTTATGTTAATGTGTGCGTGCGTGCCGGCCGTGAACGGATCGTCCGTGTATTATTAAGGCGTATAGTTAGCCGGCACACGCCAGGACGGCGTATGGTGGCTTCGTATGCACCTGTTTTGGCGAAAAGGATCTGGTTGGACCACCTTGCCCCTTCATTACGACTTTGTCTTCGATCCTCGCCCGACGTGTCCTCCGCGCTCTTAGCCTCCCCCATCATCGGCCGTCATAATTCTCCGTAGTTTTCTCCGTCCCACCCTCATTGTCTCGACAGACAATCCGTCGAGCGAATTACGAGCGCATTATACCGATCAGCCCGCTTCCCGAAATTAGGTCTCGTCGATTTGACAGCCCCAGGGCAAGCGATTTGGCGGCGGAATTCGTATTCCGACGACGAGGGGTTAATGTATTCCGGGAATGAAATCAAACTTCTCTCTTTCTGCCTGTTCTCGTCAAGAATGCCGATTAAACGCCCGTTTATTTCGTACGGAAAAAGAATTTGATTTGT